TTATATTGGTGTTCAATGGCTTTCAGAACTTTTTTTTTATAATTATATTCCAATTCTTTTCTTTTTTTTTAATAAATGAAAAAGTTTCATCTCATGTTTTATCAATGTAAGTATAGTAATGTGGTTGACCTAGAATATCATTATCTAATATTTTACCTTTTCAGGTTGATGAATACCCTGTGTATTGCATGGCAACTCCAACTATCTCTGGTGCCAAGGAGATGCTAGACTATTTGGGTGCTAAGCCTAAACCTTCCTTAACAGCTCAAAAAGTTATATTGACTGATCTGAGAGAAGAAGCAGTTGTTTATATCAATTATACACCCTTTGTCTTGAGGGAGTTAAACAAACCAGTTAATACACTCAAGTACGTGGGAATCACTGGTCCTGTGGTAAGTCATCTTTAGTTTGTTTGTTTATAATATGTACCTGTGGTAAGAAGCAGTTGGTAGATTTCACAAAATTCATTGTGTTGCACAACTCATGGTAACTACAATGCAGGTGGAACACATGGAAGCACGGCTAAAAGAAGATATACTAGCTGAGATTAGACAGTCTGGTGGGCGAATGCTATTACACCGTGAAGAATATAACCCCTCAACAAATCAGTCTGGTGTGGTTGGATACTGGGAAAACATTCGGGCAGATGACGTGAAGACACCTGCGGAAGTTTATTCTGCTCTAAAAGACGATGGATATGATATTGTCTACCAAAGGATACCTTTAACAAGAGAGAGAGATGCTTTGGCCTCTGATGTTGATGCAATACAGTGTTGTCAAGATGAGTAAGTATCCTCTACTTTGCAGTATATGGGTCTTGTAATGCTTGCTGACTTTTTTTTTCTTGTTCTGTTTGCATCAATTATAATTTGGGGGTTTATAATATGTACCTAGAATTTTCAATACATCAATTTGTATTTAGAATCATAACCAACACATGATTCCTAATGAGGGTATTGCTTTGTCTCTGAAAGGCAGTCATTGGACAGTTTGGCTTATAGCACTATACTATCTTTTGTTAAAAGTTGATTCTTTAGATCTCTGAAGTGGAATCATATATTTTGCTAAGAATTTTTAAAAACATAAAAGATTCATACTATTAAATAAATATGTAAAATAGTTCCATTCAAGGCACAGGTTGCATACCTGGTCATACTTGCATAAATCTGTCTGGCTAATCAATGTGTCAACTGCTCATCATTTTGATTCCTGCCCAATGTGTTCTTCATTTGTTCCCTGTCTTTTTGTATCCATATCCATACTGTCTAGAAAATAGAAACTGTAATCCCACTGTTTTAATCTTCGAAGTCATACTTCATTCAAATATGGCAATGTATTTTTATTTTCTTACCTCTTACTTTATTGTAGCTCTGCAGGTAGTTACCTTTTTGTATCACACACAGGTTTTGGTGGAGTCGCATATGCAATGGCCATCATCTGTATCAGACTTGATGCCCGATCCAAAGTCTCACAGCCATTATTTGGTCCTCATATATATGCAGTGACTGAAGAGAGCTTGCCCTCTCGAACTTCTAATGAAACGACACTTAGTATGGGTGACTATCGTGACATTTTGAACCTTACAAGGGTCCTCATACATGGTCCCCAGAGCAAAGCAGACGTTGACATTGTCATTGAAAGGTTATTAGGCAATTTTTTATTAGAAGCTTTACTAACCATATGTTATTATTACCTTTATAAGAAAGTGTTCACCACCAATGTGAATAAATTATGTTCTCTTTGGTGCAGTAATGCATACTGTGGGGTGAGAGGGGGTTACCTTTGCATATATATTATTTTTTCACTTTTGTAGTTCTGAAATAGCTTTTGCATCATTTAACCATTCGAGAATTTGATCTGACAATTTAGCTTTAGTTATTGGCTTTTAATTGTAGATACTGAATTTTTCTATTTTTAAAATAGATGTGCAGGTGCAGGGCATATACGAGATGATATTCTTTATTACAATAGAGAATTTGAAAAGTGTACTGATGATGGTGATGAGGAACGTGCATATCTTATGGACATGGGTATCAAGGCTTTGAGGTAAATTTACGTGTCTCACCTATAGGAATGTTTTCTTGGTACCTGCAGAAGGATATGATTATATTTTCTCTAAAAAATATGTGGAGAATGGATCATATCCTCATGGATGCTGGTGCTTGTGTATGTAGTCAGGGGGTGGGGGGTGTATTGACACGAGTACAAGAATTAATGCAGTTAATCATTTACACCACTAATTAATTTATAGAAGAAGATTTTGATCAACCCAATTATAGAATTATAGCTAATTATTATGTAGATTTTGCATGCTAAATTTGAGTTTTAAAATACTGTTAGTGTTCATCGATAATTTAATTTCTTTGCAAAGTAATTTATATGTTAATTTGGTGAAATACATTTTAACCGAGCATGAAATAAAGTTACATTGTACAACTTTCTATTCAACGATGAATTTATAAGAAACTTTATGTCGCGAGAAGTTACTCATTGGTGTAAGTTTCCCTTTGATTTAAATCTCTTTTTCGCACATGCATCTTCCATTTAACCTCCCAATCATTAATATCTATCATTTTGATCTTACTCTTGCACATCAAATTTTTAAAGGGAAAATAAATAGATAAATACATAATTATTGAATTTTGCAACGCAGTCATTGCATAAAAAAATTATTCATCATGTACAATTGCTTTTATGTCACTGGTGAGTGTTGGTGATTATGTGTCGGACATGTAACATTGTGATGTGTAACCATTTCTGTTTTTTCCCTCCACCTGCAGGCGATATTTTTTCCTCATCACATTCAGATCTTATCTCTACTGCACCTCTCCTGCCATTATGAAATTTGAAGCATGGATGAAAGCAAGACCGGAGCTTGGTCATCTATGTAACAATCTAAGAATTGATAAATGATATGGAAATGCTTATAACCACATTGTTAATGTTCCGTGGGCATTTGCTGTTACAGTTACAGTTTGCGCCACCTATAGCCTCTCCTCATGCTGTGCAATACATTTTTGCTAAAAAGCCCTCAGATGTATTACACTAGGCACGCATGCTACTTTGTAAACTAAACTGCCATCTCAGGCAGAGCAGCATCCTGCACTCAGTTTCTGTCTAGCAGGTATGTCACGAGTGGCTGGCTGTGACATAAGGCATGAATATTGGTGAACAGAAGTGTTCATTGGAGACCTGTAGGGCAGTAGATTACACTACCGAGGAATGTTATAATATCTCTTCCAAAGATTGTATTTATTTTCAGTGTTTGTTTGGGAGTTTTGTAAAGGATGAAATGTAGTGCTTCAATAGGATGGGAAGAGATATAATTCTAGTGAAAGGGCGGGAGGAAGGTTCTTTATTTCTGTAAACCCAAGTTTCATTAGTATCCTTAAGAATCTTAGTTATTTCAGTCAAACTCAATTGTATTTTTGTATTTTTTTTCCCTTTATCGAAGAAGTAAATTCTCACATGGCTTAATATAGTTAAGGAGAATATCCATGCCGGTTATGCCCATTAGCCGGTTAACTGTCTCACACCAATTATATTTTTCTGTTTATCCTGTGTTCTTCCCACTAACTTTCACTTGTCAGTTCTCGCATTCTGTTATATCAGTTCATTTAATTGGAGCCTTTTATTTGAATTTCTGTGACTGTGAAGCCTTTTAATGGAAAGGAAAATGCTTGGTGCACCTCATCCATCTCTCTCATCACCTCACGAGTAGTCTAGCAAGGCTAACTTTAATCAATCTTGTATACGCGATCTGTGTGTGTGTATGAGGGAAACATTATATAATATATCAATAACATCCAATGGCTTGATCATTCCTATAGTTACTAAATTCTCTCATCATCCCGACTAACTGAGTCAGACACAGAAAACCATTCTACAATTGGGTAGAATTTCGTTGCCATGGTTAAAGGAAAAAAGGAAGCGTTGGGTTATAGAATAAGATGAGCTTCATTTATGTTTCCAAGTTCTTTTTTTTTTATTTTTTTAAAGATTATTCTATGAAAAAAATGAGGGTTACTTAATGATTTTTATTGTCTTTAGAAAAGTATAAAAAGATGAGCGTTAAAAAAAATATGATTAGTATAAAAGTAATTTTTACATAACAAAGCATGTCAGAAAAATGCACTCCTTGCATCGTGTTGGCATGTTATATACTAGTATTTTTAAAATGACGGATCACGTAATGCCCGCGAGCCTCCTGCTAACAGTGCTCACTTTTTGCGGTCAGAATTATGAAGGCAAGTATTTGTCCATGTCTGTCTTCAGGCTCCTCAACTTATCCGTAGCAGCTCGTTTTGCCTAGCGACCCAATCAGCAACGAGCATCGACGGGGTTAAAATTGAATCCACTTTCTCGGTTTTTCTTGGATAATGGAAGCTAAATTAGAAATAGGCATAATGGACATTATGATTTCTTGTGTTTTAGTAATGACGCTTAATGACCAACAAACAATGCAATGCGCCTAGCTGTATGTATGTAACTTTCTCTAGCCAGCTAGTGAGAAATTGGATTCCTGGTAGAGAACACATTATTAATATTACGATGTTGACGATAAAAGGAAGTCGTTAATTGGTATGTATTGATTCAAAAGACATCTGCCTTAATTAACGGTTAGATTTATTAGAACAAAACCTCAAAAGAGGAGGGAAACAGCTACATGATCTGACAAAAACAGCGTGCATTTAGGAATAAGGATGCCATTTTAGCTTTTAGTGTGGTAGAAGCTGCTGAGAATCTTTAGAAACTTATAACCCGGTTTGAGTTGTATATGAGATTTTCTGATCCGAATGAAAAAACAAAAACAAACAGAAAAGCTATTACTATTAAGCCATTCCTTGCTCTACCTCGAGGGAAACCCACCTTGCTTTAATTCTTTTTAAATATTTCATAAAACATGATACCCAACAAGACATATATGCTGCTGCTTTAATTTCCCCCCTTTTCCTCTTCCCTCTACATTGCTTAAACGGAAGGGTATCTAACTTTCTATTTCCATTTAATACACATTGCTTCTGTTTATAGATCATTAGGTAGTTTGGAGCAAAGGCTCTCGTGTTTTTCCCACATTTCTATTTCCATTTATACACGTTCCTTCACTTGTTTTTTTATATATATTTTAGATAATATAGCTGAATTAGTTATGTCTAGTGCTGTTAAACTTGGGCTTTAAATAATAATCGGATTGTTCAACCGCGTTTGGGAGGAATCAAATACGACGGTTGTCACGGTGTATAGCAATTTAGAAATGATGGTGGCAAGTGAGCTTCATGGATTTTCCATGTCCCTCGGTTCAAAGAAGACATCCTTCCACCGTGACAGGAATCTCTATTCCTCATTCTCTGGCAGCAGAGTGAACTTGCTTCATTCAAAGAATGTACCATCTGGATTTCCTCCACGAAAATTCTTTAGTGTTACACAGAAAAATACAACCAGAAGATTTTTGACTACTTCTACTCTTGCAGACGTTGCGAATGATTTTATGGTAACTTACTTTTTATTTCGTTTCCTGAATGATGTCTTAGTTTGTGTTAATGTTATGACATACTTCAGGTTTCCATTATCAATTTCGGCTCCATTGAAAGCCTTGGACTTGCTTATCCTGATGTTGACTTTGAACTTGATCATTGATTATTGACTTAGTTTTTTTCCTGGTTTATTGAGAACAAAAATTATTCATAGTCATGGAGAGCTACCATAATTAAGTTATATTCTTTTGGACAAATTACACTCACATCCCAATGTTTAATAAAACTTGATACCCCTCCCTTTTTTGACATTACTTTGACCTCCCTTGATCCATATAATTACTCAAGAGAGGTCTGTGTTAACGAGAAGGATCTATGATATTATATTAGATAACTTAAGGGAGGTTTGTGAAGGTAAAAAAGGAAGGGTATGGAGGAAAATTGTGTAATTTTCTCTTTTTTTTTTTAATTAGGATACGAAGACTTGTACAATGAATATGAATTTACCTTGATAATATTGCATTTCAGGCCCTTCAATCACCAATACTTACAGGAAAAGAAGCCAACCCGAAGACTGTTGCATCGATCATATTAGGTGGTGGAGCTGGAACTCGTTTATTTCCTCTTACTCAAAAAAGGGCTAAACCTGCTGTAAGTTATTAATCTCACTAATCAGTGGGTATCATTTATGTTATTCCAGGCCTAGGCTTAAATTCATTCATCTGTCTTTTTATGTTCTACATTTTATGTGATACTTAGGTGCCATTTGGAGGATGCTATAGGCTGGTGGACATACCAATGAGTAATTGTATTAACAGTGGAATTAACAAAATTTACGTCCTTACACAATTTAATTCCCAGTCCCTCAACCGCCACATTGCTCGAACATATAATTTGGGAGGTTGCATTAACTTTGGAGGTGGTTTTGTTGAGGTACTCAGTCTTATATTATTATTATTATTATTTTTTACCATCCTTGAAGTTTGGTCTCAGGCTAAAACTTAATGACATGATGGTATACACAAACTAAAACTTTGTTATGATAGGTGTTGGCAGCAACTCAAACACCCGGGGAATCAGGAAAGAAGTGGTTTCAGGGTACAGCTGATGCTGTTAGACAATTTCTTTGGTTGTTTGAGGTATTGTATAATTCTTTTTTCCAGTTCTTAAAATTGTAGATTTGGAAAGAATAGTCCATTTTTCAACAAGCTGATAGGATTACCACACAATGCAAACATATTGGGACTTATGTCATTCTTACATTTACAACAATGATTGAGTTTGTTGGACTCGAACAGGATGCTGATCATAAAAATATAGAGAACATTCTGATATTGTGTGGTGATCAGCTCTATCGAATGGATTACATGGAAATTGTGCAGGTTGGTATTGGCTCTTAGTTTGATGATTTTTTGCTGATTCACTTGAGATAATTCACATGACTACTGATCCCATTCATGCAGAAGCACATTAATTCATGTGCTGATATATCTGTATCTTGTCTCCCAGTGGATGGCAGGTATTCTATGTATAGTTTCCTCTTTTCCATTCTACATATTGTGTTTCTTAAATATTTACATTTTCTTCTCTTTTGCCTGTAGTCGGGCCTCTGATTTTGGATTAGTGAAGGTTGATGAAAGAGGACAGATACGCCAGTTTCTTGAAAAACCAAAAGGCGAATTGTTAAGATCTATGGTTGTTACTTTTCCAATTAATTTCCTCTTAGAATGACTGAGTAATAATCTACTGCAGTTGTCAATATCACCTGTCTCTGATTGAAGTACTTGTTCTCATAGCATGTAGATACGAGTATTTTTGGACTATCAGCTCAAGAAGCAAGGAAATTTCCATACATTGCATCAATGGGTATATATGTGTTTAAAATAGATGTTCTGCTAAAAGTTCTCAGGTAATTTAATTTACTTTTCTGCAATTGGTACATTATTTTCCCTGTTGCTTCTTATTCCCCCATTTTTAGTAGAGATATCACTTTTGTACTTGGGGGTGATTCTATTAAGGTAATGAAGTAACCGTGTCTTCCCTCGGTGATATAATTAATGGAGGTGATATGATCTATTGTGCACTATTACACAATTATGGTTTTGCTCACTTCCTTGCGACTCCTGTTAATTATTATAATTTAGAACAAAAACAATAGTTGTCTTGTTCTACTAGGAAAGGTTGGTTACCTTACCTTATTAGGGTCTATGCAAGACAAACTTGATATGAAAAATTAACTTGTGGTCGATGCTCTTAATATTGGTTGGATTTTCATCGTTTCATAAGTTAACTGTCAATTATATAAAACTCTGGATAAACATAGACCAATTATATATGGTGTGATTTTCATTTTTCTATGATGACAAATTTTCAGGGGCTGTTATCCTACTGCAAATGATTTTGGATCTGAAGTCATTCCAATGGCTGCAAAAGATTTTAATGTCCAGGTAGTTGCTCAAAGTAAAAATACTAAAAGTCATACAAATTGTCCTAGCTGAAGGGTTTTTCCAAATATTCTGTCAATGTAGTTTTTGATGAGGGCATTAAGCTATCATATTCGGTTTTTATTGTAAAATAATCAAGGTTGGTCATGGTATTTCATCACAGGCATGTCTTTTCAATGGTTATTGGGAAGATATTGGGACTATAAAATCTTTCTTTGATGCGAACTTGGCTCTCATGGACCAGGTAGGTTTTTAGTATTTAAGATATAGGTCTCAATGAGAAAACCGAATCCAGTGAGTTTATACAAGCTGCAATTTATTGTTCTTCCATGTTGAAGCCGCCCAAGTTTCAATTGTATGATCAGACCAAGCCTATTTTTACGTGTCCTCGGTTCCTACCTCCAACTAAAATGGAGAAGTGTGAGGTAAAAATGTAAAATAAGTTTAGTCCATGTAACTGACTTGTGTGATTCTAACAGAGCCTAATGGGATTGTGCAATAACGTGAATTGTAGGTAATTAACTCTTTGATTTCAGATGGCTGCTTTTTAAAAGAGTGCACAATTGAACATTCCATTGTGGGAATTCGCTCAAGACTTGATTCTGGGGTGCAGATAAAGGTAACATTTCTTCTTGTGAATGGTTTGGCATGAGTGTTTCTTAACCTGACATGAAGCCATATTAGTCATATTCACAATCACTTCACACTTCACAGGATACCATGATAATGGGTGCTGATTATTACCAAACGGAGGCTGAAATAGCATCTCTTTTAGCAGCGGGAAATGTTCCAATAGGCATTGGGAAAAATACCAAAATTGTGTAAGAATTCTGGGAAAAAAAATGTTTTGTCGTAATTTAACATTATACAGGATAATGGATGAACAAATCTATATGGTATAACAAGAAGGATTCGCATCATATTCTTTGCGTAGTTTTACAACTGTTTCTTCTAAAGTAGAAATATAATAAGAAGGATTCGTATAACATTCTATGGGGAGTTTTACAACTGTTTCAATCTTTCCTGTTATGTCTTTTTTGTTACACTATCTTTTATGACTCTTGTACGAATTTTATATGCAGGAATTGTATAATTGACAAAAACGCAAGAATTGGAAACAATGTAATTATTGCAAACAAAGACGTAAGTAATGATTTAGTTGTTCAAGTTCTGTGCTTTCTCCAGCCATTTTGTTCAACAGTATGTGTGCGTAGATTAATATCATACTTTTGAAAATTCTTCCACTATCGCCTCATCTTGACTTAACCATAGACACAAGTACAGTATGCGATAGAGTAAGGAATTATTAAGATTATACTTTTGTTGGCAAAAGAAATTGTCATTAGTACTGTGTAAATCATCATAAAGGAATAAAAGAGCTATTTTTTTTTCTTTTAATGGATGCTTACATTATTTTGTCTTGTTATTTATTTTCAAAAAATCACATTCTCATTCTTGATAAATTAATGTGTTATACTTTAATATATTTAAATTTTAACTAACATTTTAAATATTTTTCTGTCTACAATTCTCAAATCATTAGCAACTAATTTATTTATTTTTATTAAAATTGGGATATTAAAGATAAAATAATGATTTTTTAATAAAATTTTAAAACTAATAATAAGAAAATTTAAAAATAATTTAATCTTTTAAAGTCTTGCTTTAGGAATGAAAATAAGTCAAATTGTTTGATCATGACATATGACCTAAAATATATTAAATTTATGTCAATTTAAACTTTTTTAAGAAATAAGTTACGTTTAAAATTTTATAAAAATTTATTTGATTAAAAAGGTTAGACTTTTAAGTTATAAAAAATAATCTTTTAAGACCTAAAAAGTAAGTATACTGGAGTAAATATAATCATTTTTTATTAGTATTATTATATTAAGTTTATTATAATGTTTTAAAGAAACATATTATTTTTTAAAATGTTAAACACGTTGAACACCATAAAAGTTAAACTTATAAGTCTATTAAAAATTTACTAATGCCTTATTGTAAAACATATTTTTAAATAATTATCATGAAAGTTGGATTAAAGCTTAAAAATAAGTGTATATTGTATAAATAAATTAGACTTGCTTTTTTATAAAGTCTAGCATATTTATTTTCATTCTTGTACTATGTCCTGAGTCACACTAGTTTTTTTTTTTTTGTTTTTTGTTTTTTATATAGTTTATAGTTTGTTTTACATACAATTTTTTCTTCTCATTATTGGTATATTAACCGAGGAGCCTATTTAGAGATAAGATTTAAGTAAGTAGACTTTTCAAAAGCTTATCTCATAAAAAAAATAAGTCTGTGACAAACAATAGAGTAAACTTAGATCTTAAATTTTTAAGGAAAAATCTAAAATCATTGATTAAAAATTTAAAATAGATTTTTTTTATTATTTAAAAGTGTATTAGAATACTCTCTGATATAATACACCTAAAAAAGAATACTCTCTGGTATGATTTTCATGTAATTTTTAATAAAAAAGAATTACATATCGATTTCTTAAGCAGTGTTATAAGGATAGCTAGTAAGACTTTTTTTTAAAAAAAAAAAAAAAAAA